CCACAGCCCATCAGGCCCTGGGCATGTCCCTGCCGGGCACCGCCGAAACCTCAGCGAGGAAGTTCTGGGCTTCTGGGGTTTAGGGTTTAGGGTTTTGGGGTTTAGGTTTGGGGATTAGGGTTAGGGTTTAGGGTTTAGGGTTTCGGGTTTAGGGTTCGGGTTTAGAGCACGTGTGAGCAGCGAAAGCAGATTGGGTCGGCGCACCCGGCCTCAGCAAGAGAATAGCTATGCAGTGACATGAGTGCAGATCTACATTGTGAGCTTTTTTTTCCCTGAAGCCCAAACGATAAGCGCAAAAAAGCCAGAAAGACTGACCCCGGAAGGTCCCGTAGTTTCGATCAACCCCTCCTGTTGATCAGCGATCCATTTGAGAGAAAGCGTTCGCTCCGCTCAAAAGCGACCAGGCCAGCACGCCGGCGGCGACACGAGATGACCCACGGTCTGTTACCGACCAGAAGCGGCAGGAGACTGGTTTAGGGTTTAGGAATACTAGGCAACTCCCTCGGCCCTAAACCCTAAACCCTAAACCCTAAACCCTAAACCCTAAACCCTAAACCCTAAACCCTAAACCCGCAACCATAAACCCTAAACCCTAAACCCTAAACCCGAAACCCTAAACCCAAAAGAGCCTGCCCATTTGGGGCGGCTTTGGGAGGACTGCGCTGCCGCGGTCGCAGCCTTGTTCTCCTTGGCAGAGAAGGGGCTGTCCGATCCTGAGTGCCTTACTCCCCCCTAAACCCGAAACCCGAAACCCTAAACCCTAAACCCTAAAACCTAGACCCTAATGGGGACTTTTTCGCATTAAGGGCTTCAGGGGGGATTTGATCTCAGGGGGCGTGTATGGTCGGGTCAACGCCCGAAGCTCGCCTCAAATGGTAACTGCGCTAGTCAAGCTTCAACTTCTGCCGGTTTAGGGTTTCGGGTGTAGGGTTTAGGGTTTAGGGCGAAATCCTGAACCCTAAACCCCTAAACCCGTAAAGCCCCTATGTCAAAACCCGACATCAACCCTGGCACCGTTGCAACCTGGTTGCATCCTGGCTCAAAGGGAAGCGCGCACACACCTACACAGTTGCTGCCTGGAGCTTTCAGCGCCGCGAAAGGATGGGCCACTCGGAAGCAACGAGAACTGGGAGGGTTGAGGGTTTAGGGTTTAGGGTTTAGGGTTTAGGGGTTTAGGGGCTTAGGGGCTTAGCGGCTTAGGGTTTAGGGTTTTAGGATTTAGGGTTTGGGTTTAGGGTTCAGGGTTTGGGGTTTAGGGTTTGGGGTTTAGGGTTTAGGGCTTAGGGGTTCCCTATTCAAACAGAATGGGTTGCATGACCTTGTATGAGGGTAGTCCTCTAAAGTTAGGGTCTTTTTTGGGGTCCTTGTTGCAAGGGTGCCGTACTAGATATAGGACCCAAAACCATACAGGCTCAGGGTTTAGGGTTTCGGGTGTAGGGTAGGAAGCCGTTATAGACAGGGTCCGGGTTGTATGAGGGGATGTGGGTACTCAATCCCTGAGTATCCGACCCAAGCACAGAAATCTCAAGCCCTAAACCGTAAACCCTAAAGCCTAAGCCCCAAGGATTGAACGCTGACGGGTTCTGAGAAGATGCGCAGCCTTACTCAGTGCGGGAAGGCACTAGCCCCTAAGCCGGATTCGTAGTTTCTCTGAATGCTCCAGGTAAGAAATCCCCAACAGGGCCTTGACAGGCCCTAAACCCTAAACCCTAAACCCTAAACCCTAAACCCTAAACCCTAAACCCTAAACCCTAAACCCGAAACCCGAAACCCCGAAACCCTCAACCCCAAACGCGGCGCTCAAGGCAAGTTCATCAAGGCTGGACGCGTGGTCGTGCTGCTCCAGGCGGGGCCCGAACCCTTAAACCCCAATGCGCTGTTTGCTTCAGAAGTCCACCCCCGCCTTCCAAGGGTTTAGGGTTTAGGGTTTAGGGTTTAGGGTTTAGGGTTTAGGGTTTAGGGTTTAGGGTTTAGGGTGGGGGGGGGGGGGGGGGGGGGGGGGTGGTGGTGATTCTTAAGCAAAATGGCCCCAAAGGAGTGCCTTAAAATGATACTTAGAGGTTTAAAGTGGGTTGTGTTTGTCAGAGGAATTTGAAGGGGGCATGTCTTTGGGTTTTCGTTGGGAAGCTATTTAGGGGTTTAGGGTTCAGGGGGTTTAGGGTTTGGGGGTTTTGGGGGGTTTGGGGTTTCGGGCTTCATGTTGGGGATTTCCCCGTCAGGCGAACAGTTAATAGGTTAATAGGGATCACAGTACCCCCTATTAGACTCCCTATATTCAGGACCGTTAGTTTTATCCCAAGTTTCATGGGTTCAGGGTGTTAGGGGGCTTCAGGTTTTGGGGTTTGAGGGTCTCAGAGTGTTTCTGGCTTGAAGAGAAACTCCTGCGCATCGAGTTCATTCTTTCTGGATGCGCAGAATCTCCTGATGCAAGAAATCCTGTGTTTACGCGCAAAGCTAGCATAGGTTTTAGGGTTTAGGGTTGAGGGTTAGGGTTGAGGGATTAGGGTTGAGGGTTTAGGGTTTAGGGTTGAGGGTTGAGGGTTTAAGGGTTTAGGGTTTAGGCTTTAGGTTTGAGGGTTAGCCCTGGATCCTAAACCCTTGATTTCCCTCACGCCTCCTCCTCGCAGGGCCGCTATGCTGGCAAGAAGGCGCCCGTGGGTTCTGGGTTGGAGGTTCAGGGGTTAGGCTTGGCCCCCAAGTATGGGGTTTAGGATTTAGGATTTAGGGTTTCGGGTTTAGGGTTTAGGGTTACCCAACCCTTACCCCCAGAAACTCTCAAGCAGAAGCAACAAGAGAAAGAATCAAGCAAGCTCCTAAACTCCCCAAGCGGAAGACAACGAACTCCAAAAGTCCCAAAAACGGAAAACGACACCTAGAGGAAAACAACCATTCTTGAACACCTAAGCCTCCGTCTCTCTCTCTTTTTTTGTTGTTTCTCTATCTCTCTCTCTCGCTCTTTTGCGCTGTCTCTCCCTCTCTCTTTGCGCTCTCTCGCTCGGAAGCACTTCTGCTATCCTAAGCCTAAACCAACCTTAGCCTCAACCGAAACCCAAAAGCCCCAAACCCCTAAACCTCGAACGCCAATCCCAGAACGTTTTAAACCCTAAACCCTTACCGCTAAACCCTAATTAAGCCCTAAACCTAAAAACCCTAAACCCTAAACACTCTTTCACACCCTAAACCCTAAACCCTAAAGCCCTGAACCCTAAAAACCCTAAACCGTGAAAACCCCAAACCCTAAATAACACAAAAAGCCCTAAACCCTAAAAACCCTAAACACCCTAAACACCCTAAAAACCCCAAAAACCCTAAAACCCTAAAACCCTAAAGCCCTAAAAAAGCCCAAAAACCCTAATCCCTAAACACCCCCAAAACCCTCAAGACCCTTAACCCCCGAAGGCCATTGTCGTGAAGACGAGCGACGATGGGTCGAAGGCCCCACCGCTGGTTCTGAGTAGAACATGTGGGAATTAGGGCCCTATATGTACCCTTTAAGGGACTATATTTTTGGGCCCTATATATACCCTTTAAGGGATGATATAGGGCCCTATATATACCCTTTAAGGGATTGTATAGGGTACCCTATACAGCATCATCGCTTAAAGGGCAATATATAGGTACCCGATGTACCCCCTTAACGGGTTTATATATATATATATATACATATATATATATATATACACATATATACATATATATGTATACATATACATATATATATATATATACATATATGTATATACATAGGACCCTAAGTCCTTCCTTCCCTACTAAGAACCAGCCTGAGGCCCGGCCCTTTGGGCACTGCCTGGTGGCGGGCATCGACCGTGCGCCCCTGAAGGTGACCAGGCCCGGGACCCCTTTGACACAGGGTTTAGGGTTTAGGGTTTAGGGTTTAGGGTTTAGGGTTTGGGGTTTAGGGTTTAGGGTTTAGGGTTTAGGGTTGAGGATGTCAACGGTTTAGGTTCAGGGTTAGGGTTTCAGATTCCGGGTCGTTTTGGAGGCGGCGCCGGGGTTGAAACTTGGGGCGGTGCCTGATATAGCCACGCATGAACCTCCAAGAAAGCGTTTTGAGGGTTTTAAGGGTTTAGGGCAAGAGCGGCTCTGCCCTAAACCCCAAACCCTAAGCCCTAAACCCTAAACCCTGAACCTGTTTGTGCTTCTACTCGTTGAGGTTTGATGCGGGGTTTTGGGTTGCACAGGCAACCGAAGGAGGAACACTGTCGTCGGAGTCGGAGATGTCTAGACTCAGAACCCAGGCATCCGAAGTCTAGTTTAGGGTTGACGGTTTAGGGCACCCAGGGTACCTTGATCTTCAGCCATCGACCGATTATGCCATGGCGCTAGCGTGCAAAACCGCAGCGTTTGGCAGGAAGATGTCCAAGAAGAAGATCACGAAGCGCACGAAGGTCAAGCTGGGACCTTGGCGCTGCCTTCCAAGGTTTTTCTTGCCCGCATTCTGACTCATTCTTCATTCTTCATAATTCGTTCATTGTTCTTTGTTCGTTGTTCTTTGTTCTTTGTTGATTGTTCTTTGTTCTTTGTTCTGTGCTCTTTGCTCTTTGCTCTTTGCTCTTTGCTCTTGGCTCTTTGCTCTTTGCTCTTTGCTCTTTGCTCTTTGCTCTTTGCTCTTTGCTCTTTGCTCTTTGCTCTTTGCTCTTTGCTCTTTGCTCTTTGCTCTTTGCTCTTTGCTCTTTGCTCTTTGCTCTTTGCTCTTTGCTCTTTGCTCTTTTCTTTGTTCTTTGTTCTTCATCTTTTCATTCTTTATTCTCTATTCTTGATTGTTATGCCTTGTTCTTTATCATTTGTTCTTTTGCATTCTCACTAGGCCTTGCCCTACGAGTGCCCCACCGGGCCCTGTAGGCCGCTAGATTCGCCTCTGCGTAGCTTCGTGCAGGTGATTTTGACTCGGGTGGGTTGCGGTCTGTAGAGAGAATTGCAGCTTCTGTGTGGTGCTGCTGCAAAGGCCTTTCACCAAGTATGTGAACTACAACCACATCATGCCGACCCGATACAATGTCCGATCCTTGGGGGGGGGGGGGGGGGGGTGTTCATTCAAGGCAGTTGCGCTTGACATGTCATTCAAGGCAGTTGCGCTTGACATGTCTTCAAACCGGGGCAGCGGCACAGGTGCCTGCCGAGCTGTCCCCATCCACCATCTGCACGGATGCGCAGATGGATACCCCGGATGGCCGCAAGGAAGCCAGGAAGTTTGCGAAGAGCCGCCATGCAGCATTGGCACGTCAGCATGTGACTGGACATGCTTGAATGGTACAGGACGGTTTCGTCTGCCCTGCGCCATGCGTAAGAAAGCAGTGGCAGTACCCACAGCAACAACGGCAGTGGCAGACAAAAGCAACAACATCTTTCAAAATTAACTTCCAAAGAAGAAAAAGACGAGGCCTGTTCCAGGAGAAGTTCCAGTCCCCGCCGCTTGACAAGTCGGGACGCCCCTCGAAGGACGGATACTTCGAGTCCCCGGACAAGGGTAAGCTATCATGAAGGAGAAGAATAGAGTTTTTATTTTTCATAGCTTAAATATGACTTCCTTCACTGCAGCCTTCAAAGCCCTGCTGCAGAGGACGTCCTCTACATGCGCAAGAAGCTCCGCTTCTAAGATGCGACCCGAAGCTGCTGTGGCCGTGTGCGGAGAAAGACCTGTTGGAACTGCCTGCTTCCATGTTAAGCAGCATTCTTCCCGGTTCTTAGTAGGGAATGAGGGAATGAGGGCCCCATATATACCCTTTTAGGGATTATGTAGGGCCCTCATTCCCTACTAAGAACCAGCCAGTATTGCAAGTGCGGCGTCTCTGGTGCAATTATGGGGGTTTACGCAAATAGGGGACCCCTAGATGTTTCACCCAAATAGTAGGATCCCCTTATAATACGGACCCCAAAAAGGTACCCCTAATGTTGGAAACCCCAGTATTGAAAGCAGAGTCAGGTCAGCAAGGAAGATCATCTGCAAGGAGGCCGGGCTGGCAGGGAGGCTGCACACAAACATCCGGCTCAGGCAGTTCGGCAAGGAACGTTCTTACACTGTAGAAGTGCGCCAAGAACCCACCTCAAAAGAAGAGAAGAAAGCGCCCGAAACTCCTTAACACCGCTAAGCCCTAAACCCTTTAAACCCAGAACCCTAGTCCCTCATCCCTAAACCCTAAACCCTAAACCCTAAACCCTAAACACTTTAAACCCAAAACCCTAATCCTAAACCCGGAACCTAAGGCCAGGTTGTCCCTTGTTAATGCGTAGCAAATTCTCGAGGCACTGGAGAATGCTGTGGCGATCGTCTATGCCTGGGCCTTGAAGTGCTTCCTTTTTGAGCTCAGGGGTGTAGGGCTTAGGGTGTTCTTCAGTTTAGGGTTTAGGGTTTAGGGTTTAGGGTGTAGGGTTTAGGTTGTGGCATGTCGAGATGCAGCGTTGAAGTAAGGTCAGGGTTTCCGGCGTCAGGACTGTTGGGTAGCGCTCGTGGGGCCAGAGAATCGGAGAGTCATGGTGACACAGAGACATGTTCTGAGACGATCTTTGTCGGGGCTTCAGAGGCGCTGGGCGGCAGCACAAATGCTGTGCTTCACATTCTTGCTATTGCCCACGAGGCCGCGATTAGGGCTTTCGGGGCTTCAGGATTTCGGGGCTTCAGGGTTTCTGCCTAAACCCTAAACCCTAAACCCTAAACCCTAAACCCTAAACCCTAAACCCTAAACCCTAAACCCTAAACCCTAAACCCTAAACCCTAAACCCTAAACCCTAAACCCTAAACCCTAACCTAAACCCTAAACCCTAAACCCTAAACCCTAAACCCTAAACCCTAAACCCTAAACCCTAAACCCTAAACCCTAAACCCTAAACCCTAAACCCTAAACCCTAAACCCTAAACCCTAAACCCTAAACCCTAAACCCTAAACCGTAGACCCTAAACCCTAAACCCTAAACCCTAAACCCTAAAACCCTAAAACCCTAAAAAACCAAGCCCTAAACCCTGTTGGCTTGTCAGCGGCTACCTGCAGGCTGGCATCCCGTCCGAAGAGTTCAACATTGAGGACCCTGGTGCCAGTGCCCTGGGGGTTTAGGGTTTAGGGTTTAGGGTTTAGGGTTCAGGGTTATGCCTTAAATCTAAAACCCTAAACCGGCTACACCCTCAACCCTGAGCGTTAAGCCCTGGCGAGGATATTCACCGCGTCGGCCAGCGGATCCCCCTGCTAGGGAACCTATCGCCGCACGGAAGGCCGAACTACTTGCGTTCGAAGTGTGGGTTTCCGAAATTAGGGGTACCTTATTCTTGGGGTCCTTATTTATTTGGGGGTCTATGTTAGGGGTCCCCTTTTTTCGTAAACCAAGGAGGTTTTGGGGTTTATTTAGCATGCGGGTAGGCAAGCGCCGTGCAGGCTTTTAGCGTTAGGGTTTGGGGTTTGGGAGCCAGGAGGGGACTTCGAGGTTTAGGGTTTAGGGTTTAGGGTTTAGGGTTTAGGATTCAGGGTTTAGGGTTTAGGGTTCGAGCTTGCAAGCGCCTCCGTCAGACCGTGCCGACGATACGGCGGTGCAAGCTTCTTCTTTTTGACCTCAAGCAGCCAGTGATATTCTTAGTGTTCCCGACAAGACTTATCAAGCTGCCTACGTTCTCGCTTGGCCTATCTCTGTTTACACTGCTTGCTTTGCGTGTGCTCTCTCTCTCTCTCTCTCTCCTCTCCGTCCCTGTCGGTCTTTCTGCACTCATTCTAGTGAAAGCTAGGCGAGAAATTCCACCAGCAAGATTCAAACCAGCCCCGAAACTTCGGTGGTTCTTACTGGGGAGTTGGGAGTTGGGAGTTGGAGAACCTCTAGAAAGGGCCTAGGGTTCCTTTCAGGGGGATACGGGGTACCTAACTCCCACACTCACTTCGTAGATGCATACTGTGAGGGGATGCCCTGCGGGCCTCCCTAAACCCTAAACCCTAAACCCTAAACCCTAAACCCTAAACCCTAAACCCTAAACCCTAAACCCTAAACCCTAAACCCTAAGCCCTAAGCCCTAAGCCCTAAACCCTAAACCCTAAACCCTAAACCCTAAACCCTAAACCCTAAACCCTAAACCCTAGACCCTAGACCCTAGACCCTAGACCCTAGACCCTAGACCCTAGACCCTAGACCCTAAACCCTCTGTTGCAGATACCACATGAGCGACCTCCACAAGATTGGGGGCGTGCCGGTGGTCCTCCGGGAGTCCACATTTGGGGGCTTACGAACTTAGGAGACCCCCGAAAAAATAAACACCACGTGAGGACCCCAATAAGGTAGCCCGAAGTCCCCCTCCCCCCCCCCCCCCACCCCACACACAAGGTCGCACTTTTTGCATGCGCTCAATAAGGTGACATGTGTTGGGAGGGTTGGGGGTTGGGAGGGGGGTTGAGGGGGTCGAGAGGCTCAGGGGTCGAAGGTTGAGGAGCTTGGCCTTGGGAGAGTTGAGGCTTTGGGTGGAGGTTTAGGGCTAGAGCCGGACTCAGCAACGGACCAAGAAAAGGACCTTCAGTCAATTTCTTGTGAAGCGCTTTCTTTTCTGAACCTTTGTTTGTTTGTTTTTGGGCCCCGAGCTCCTTCGCATTATTCCGGGTGACCTTATCAATAGTGGGGGGTGCTGTCTTCAATATGCAAGCTATGCATACTGGCCTGTAATGTTATTAAATCGGGAGCAACATTAGCCCCTAAACCGTCCATCACATTGCCATGCAACCTCTAATTTCAAGTTACCACCCGATTGGTGCAGACCCCAAGCTAAGTCTTCATGGCGCAACTGATGCTCAAGAGCTTGCAGCTTGGGATGTTCTCCCAACCGCAGTCCTCAATAGGATCATACTAGGGGATGCTATACTCCCTATTAAGGACTGTTAGTATCCTTGATAGGGATTACAGTAGGGCATACTATAGTCCCTATTAAGGACTGTTAGTAGATGAGGGAGGACATCCCAAGAGCCGCAGGAGTTGCTCGACGCGGGCCTCCTGCACGGCCAGTGCATGACTGTCACCGGAAGGACGCCAAATGGGTCCACAAGCCCTGTCGAGGAACCCTAAGCCCCAAACTTGGGATGTTCCCGCTTATACTAACCGTCCTTAAAAGGGATTCGAATACTATAATCCCTACTGAGGACTAAACCCTAAACCTTAAACCCTAAACCCTAAAACCTAAACCCACAACCCTAAACCCTAAACCCTAAGCCCTAAGCCCTAAACCGGTTAGTGCCAGTCAAGCTGCAGGACCATGGCCGAGAACTTGGCGGGCACCCCCGCGGCTCGGGACCTGACGGAGCCGAGGGGTTTAGGGTTTAGGGTTTAGGGTTTAGGGTTTAGGGTGTAGGGTTTAGGGTTTAGGGTTTAGGGTTCAGCGTTTTGGGTTTCGGGTTTAGGGTTTAGGGGCGTTCAGGGAGGGCTTAGTAGCTGAGTAAGGAACCTTTAACCTGAAAGGGTAACTTTTTTTGGCTCAGGGTACTCAGCAACTAGGAGGCTCTTCAGAGGCGTTGGGGCGTAGGGTTTCGGGGTCCAGGGAGTGTTGGGGCTTGGCGTTTTTTTGCGGTTTGGGGTTTTTGCGGGTTGTGGGGGGATTTTAGAGTTGGGCTTGCTTTCGGGATCGTTTTTCTATACCCCTTCCCCCCCAAAAGAAAAGAGGAAAGGGAAAAGAGACAAACAAAGAATGCGTGCTGGGGGCCTTGAGGCTCTTGTTGAGGGGGGTTTGGGTTTAGGGTTCAGGGTTTGGTTTGCTGAGATCTGAGAGCAGCACTATCCAGCAACTCAAGGCGATTCGAGCTAAGCGGCGGGTTTGGGGTTTGGGGTTTGGGGTTTGGGGTTTGGGGTTTGGGGTTTGGGGTTTAGGGTTTAGGGTTTAGGGAAAACCTACATTTCAGGAGGAATTAACTTTCAATGAACGGGTGTATCGCATAAACAATCAAGCTGTACGTAAGCAGCAGGCATAGCCATAGCCCAGAAAACGGTAGGCAAATAGAGGTCCAGAGGTCCATGGCGTAGTTGTCGGCATCCATACCTTCAACAAGCTTCTTACTACCAGGTTGTGGTATGGGGCCACTAATTATTCACTTCGTTCATCCTCATCTCAAAGTTAACCAATGTCAAGTCCATCCGGCCTGTTTCGGGTATGCGGCTAAGGATACTTCGCCGCAGGATTCTGTCGTGGTTTTAGGGATAGGGATTCTCTGGGACTTGGCAGGATTCGGCACTCCAGGGAGTCTCGGCGGATACCCAGTAGTGACACACGCACACTGCGGGAGTCTATACAGAATGGGAGGAGAGGAGAGTGGTTGACTTGAATCTAACAGCCCCACACCATCCGAGGATGGGGAGTTACCCATGAACCTTTACGTGAGGTTTAGGGTTCTCGTCGCGCCGCTGCTGAAGGTCGCGGCACTCGGGGTGCAAGACGTCGTCTATCCGGTTGCCAAGCCGCTTGCCGGGGCCCTCAGCCCTGAACCCGAACCCCTAAACCACCCGAATCCCCAATCGCTGAAGGATCTAGGGACTGCGTAGGCAACCTTTAACTTTAACCTTATTGGTTATATTGACTCTAACTTCATATAAGGTTGACCTCTTTTGGGCTAGGGTATTCAGCCCCGAAGAGGACGGAATATGGACCTC